ATTTCTCCCAGATAACCAAGTATAACCATGCCTCTGCCACTTCAGTCAAACTTTCCCAGTTGGGGTTTTACTCCAGCTAAACCTGAGTAACTTTATCTGCTAGATAACTAGAATATTTTTCACAGAGACTCATTAGAGGATCCTAATGCTCATTCCTGCCCTTCAAGAAGTAGATCACTAGTTAAAGGATTGCTGGTTGGTTATTAGTGGATGTGAGAAGAGTGAGAATGACTGTGTTTCACCACTCCTATCAACATGACATAATCTCTAACGTGAACTCTTAACACACACTCAGTCGGATTTACTCTTCCTCCAATGTCATTCTAGTCATCTCTTCAGATATTTTAACTTTCAAAGATGGATATACTGATAGAGGCCATATAAGAGCACTCCCATCCATGGCCCATGTCACTGCCAATTCTAGCTAGAAAACTATACCTTAGGCGAAGAGCCCATCAGATCCTCAGAAAAAAAATCCTCCAAGAGTTCTCTCCAAGTCTCCCTGGGTCAGATTCATCTAATAGGTTTTACCTTCCTTCAAGGAGTATGTTTAGATGGAGAAGCAAAAAAGTGAACAGAATGTGATCTGACCGTGGCAAAGAACTAATGGTAATATCCTTTACCTTCAGACCATAGTACAACTGTCCTCAGATAAAAATCAGATCTAATGTATAATCTTAAACATGCATTAGTCCATCAATAATTTTGGACAAGTCCACGTTTATCATAGTGAGCATGAAGTCCCGAACACCCCAAATCCAACACTATAGAGGTACATGTTAACCCTCAAAACTATTGCCTTGGGATTCAACTGCTATCACCAATGGAATTTAACAGCTCAGATAGAGATGTTGCTGTATAGCAGGGAAGTCAGTAAGGTAGCAACAAATTGAACTGTTCCCAAGGGCCCAATTTCAGTTAGAGCCCCTGTTTTTCTAGCACAAAGCTCCCAAAAGACATACTAATGTCCCAGATGACATCTGCCATCCTTCCTTCCCTACTTTTATAGCTGATGCCAAATGCAAAATCTAGATACCTCCCCCCACCCAGCCTCTCCAAGTCTCAGTTATGCTAGCCAAGTTGGCTGAATTTCTCCTCAATTAAGTCATATGAAACTGACATTTAATAACAATAGCTGGAGATTAGGGCCACCAAGAATCAAAAAAGTTACTGAGACCCTAGAAAAAGTGCAGAGAAGAGCAACAACGATAAGGAGTCTGGTGGCTGACAGAACTAGATACAGCATGCTTTGTCTAATGAAGAGAAGAACTAGGGGTGATATAATAGCAGACTTCCAGTACTTGAGGGGCTGTCACAGAGAAGAGGGGATCAACTTATTTTCCAAAGCACGTGAGGGCAGGGCAAGAAGTAATGGTTGGAAGACCATTAAAGAGAGATCTAACCTAGAGTTAAGGAATAATTTCCAGACAGTGGAACAGCTTGCCTCCAGAAGTTGTGGGTGTACATTTATTGTAAACTAATAAAAAAGAAAAATCTAAAAAGAAATACTGTACAGATAGTTCTCATTAGCAGCTGCCTGGTTTAGTGACCTTTCAGAATTATGATGGTGATGAAAATGAAATTTTTATTATAATTCCTTGCATTTATGACCTTTTCAGATCTGTAAAGCAAAGGAAAGCTGAAGTAAGATCATAAGCATAGTAGCAGTTTCACTTAGCGACCGCTTCATTTAATGACCAAGTTGCTGTGTTTTGCAATAGTCAGTCTTGTTTAGCAATAATAATAATTTGCCTTCAATATATCATCGGTCACAGACCAACTATACTTCATACTATTAATATGGCCTAAATTAAGCTTGGAAGCAGAAGAATAAAAATCAACAACAGGAAAGAATGCACGAAATGCTTGTTTCTGAGCTGGAAGAAGATTGAAGAGGAATACGTTGTGCTCATGGAAGATGGAGGGTACTGTAGCAGTCCAAAGCATAGGTTTAATGGCTACTAGGTGGGGTTGGGATGTTCTTTTCTAAGGCTGAGTTTGGATGTGATCATTTATTTAGTTCTGTACAGAGGTCTTTTCATTTGGTTTTTGCACTTGTTTTCATAGTAAAAGATGTGTCGTTACCCAGATATGATAAGCTATAGTTCTCTTTACCTGTGCTCAGGTCAATGGAAAATTAAACAATAACTGAAGGGTTGCATGTTGCTTCCTCTCCCCGTACTCTATGTCACTAATAAGGAATCAAAGTGAACAAATTAATGTAGAATATGACTAATAATGCATAATGCTGTCATATTAGTACTTATTTTATAAGACTTACCCCTAGATAAATGTGTATAAGGTTGCTGCATTGGAACTGAAATATATCTATTAATAACTATTACAAAAAGTAAGTGAAGGAAAAATTTAGGCAGCCCTATCTTCAATTCATGAGTAATCTGGAAGGGTGTCTAAAAAAAATAAATATCCCAAAATATATATAAGATTATAAGATTGTGTTTGAAAACCTTCACCTCACACATTTTTAAATTAAAATAGGTTATTTTTCCAGAGACTGTTATATTATATCAGCAGTGAAATGTAATGAATGTAACAAATTCTTTTGGAATTTGCTGTATACTTATATGTGTGCCTGCATCTTAATTACATAGAGCAGAAATTCTAATATTTTCAGGGTAGTTCTTTTGGCATAAGAATTCTGATTTAAGAGGTAGCTATGTTTTAGGAACACATTTTATTTAATTAACCTCAGCCTCAAATCTTGCATTCTTACTTTTAAGGATAATGGGGCAGATTCATTAAATTTGCAAAACTTTCCTATAGAATGTGTACAGATGCTTGAAATGAACAATACTTAAGAGGGTAAATCAGACTGCCTGATAAATAATTGCATGTGTTATGACAATATATTCCATTACAAAAATTATGTCATAGTTGTGGGGAAATAGTGAAATTCAATTATGCTGGCTACTTAGAAATAATTATTCTTTTAAAAAGTCAAACATTTGTTGATACTTAATTCTCAAAATAGTTTAGATTCTTTATCTGTGCATAATTCATGTGAATAGGGAAGAAATGTTTTCAATGTTGTTGTTCATTGGAACCTCTACACTATAATGTATATGTTGAGTATTGCATATTTCATAGTTGAATTGCTATTTCTTTTTGAGATTCTATACAGTATATGCATCCTTATTAGTTCTAGAATTAATATAGTGGTGTCGCAACAAATGAGAGCCAGTTTGATGTAATGGTTTATGGTATTGGATTAGGAACAGGAATACTTGAGCTCTAATCCCTCTTAGGCACTAGGCAAGCTTGGTGACTTTGCACCAGTCATTTTCAATAGAGGAGAATAATTGTAGTTCAGAGATAAACTGCCTGAGTTTGATTATTTACTTGCAGACATTTCATTATCCAAATATGTAAAATTACTAGTGCAAGTGAGTGTGGGATTTGGGGAATATAGTTTTGGTTGTAGTTTTCTCACTGATGGTTCCTTAATGAGAATATTGTTTTCTGTCTGATTGCTAGTGCTAATCTCTGCTTATGTGAATGTTGACTGCTCCAGGGGATGTGTTCTACTCCTTGTTTGCTTCCTAGGTTTTTTATTGCCTCTTTTAACTAAATTGCCAGTTGGTGTCTGATTTGTCTGAATGCCAGGTTTCCAAGAATAATCTAGCATGTTTGGATTTTGTTTGGTCTGTGATGCAAATAATTTCCCAGTTGAAACTGTGGTTGAATTTGTCCATGTAAGATTGAGTTTTTGTCATGTCTTCTGAAAGCTAGTTGGTGTTTATGGATACTTTCTGCTAGTCTTCTGCCTGTTTGTCCTATATAGGCTGTTGCAAATATTGCATTTTAAGTTGTAGATGACATCTGTTCCCCCACCCACCTACCCCTTGAGTTTCTGGGTCTTTTGGCTAAGATATTTTGGATGGCTATAGTTGGTTTGTGTGCTACAGTGATGCTATGTAGTTTTAGCATTTTGTTGGTCGTTTCTGAGATGTTTTTGATTATGGAAGAGTTATCCTTTTCATAGGTTATACTGGTTGTACTATAGTGGATTGAATGGTCAGATTCTTTCTAATAAGGTTGTGTGGGTATCCATTTTGTTGGAAGATGTACAAATGGTCTGTTTCCTCTTTCTGGTGTTGTTGCTGAAATATGTGTTCGTCTGAATATAATTCCTATATAGCTCCTCTTGTGGGAGGTTAGGTGATAATTTTGTAGTGGAACATTTGGTTAATATAGGTTGCTTTCCAATAGATTTGAATTTCTAGTTTGCTGTTGCTTCCTCTGCTGATAAAGATATCCAGGAAAGATACTGTGAAGCAACATCTAGAAGTTACAACATTCATATATTTACAACCAAAATCCAGTATGTAGGCAACACCTTATCATCATCAATAATAATAATAATAATAAGGAACTAGAGAAGGCATATTAAGTAATCAACAACATCTTCGAAGGAATAACATTTACAAGGGAAGAAAACAATGCACTTACACTTATCCATTATATTCAGTATATCTGAATTTTAAAGCATTATATTTAAAATGGTTTTAGTAGTTTTATTTTAATCTATTTTTGTGCCATACTTCAATAAATATTTTTTAAAATTTATAATGGAATATTAAGTTATTTTTAGAAAGTAGTTTATGAAATCACATGTGGCATCACATGTGATTAGAAGATATTCATGATCTCCTCACCCACATAGGGCATGTATCGTGTAATATTATTTTTGATGTAGCACTTAACATGTCTTACCTAAAAGTACAAATACTACAAATCACTACTACCAGTATCATATCATTAATATGTAAATGTATACAGATTGTAATTGATGCACATCAATTGATAGAAATACATGTGATTAAGGTTTCATCAAACCGTAACTACTTTGCAATATGCATTTTAATTTCAGTTGTCCCCAAATCAATATGCAAAGTGTTTGAAGTGCCAAATATTTTATTAGACTTAAGCTGATAAAATGACACTTAACATGGAATGATCCAAATTAATTTTGTTCACAGGGATATCAAACCAGATAATATTCTGATGGATGTGAATGGACATATTCGGTTAGCGGATTTTGGCTCTTGTCTGAAGCTGATGGAAGATGGAACGGTAAATTAGTTTTTTTTAAATAAACCCAATCAGTTTATTTAAACTTAAAATGTAGTCCAGTCATCTTTAATATCTGATGCTTGTTAACCAATTCAANTGTTCACAGGGATATCAAACCAGATAATATTCTGATGGATGTGAATGGACATATTCGGTTAGCGGATTTTGGCTCTTGTCTGAAGCTGATGGAAGATGGAACGGTAAATTAGTTTTTTTTAAATAAACCCAATCAGTTTATTTAAACTTAAAATGTAGTCCAGTCATCTTTAATATCTGATGCTTGTTAACCAATTCAATTTTGGGATTATATTTGATGATAAAGAAATGTTGGCTGCAAAATTATCCTTTTTGAGTAATTGTGTTGGACCTATAATAGAAACCCATTTTAATTCTTCTGGCTGTATATATATTATAAAATTCATTCACTTTGCACTCCTTTTATATATCTTACTTTATCATCGTTGTCCATACATATTTAATAATTCCCATTATCTGTTGACTCTTCCATTTTTTGATAGTATTTATATAGTTCTATATCGTAATATCTACTGTAAGTTTTGAGTGATATCTTTATTTGTTCTGTCTTAATGATCTATTTCACCATAGAATTTAGGTTCTGAGTGCAAAATTTAGATGCTTTTATTATAGAACTAACAAAAAAGATACAATACTTGATAATGAAGGAGGCTATGGAGGTTATAACAGTTATAAGTCTGGAAATGAGGAATTGAGATTCACAGAAGGGAAGACACAGTATCCTTTTTAGTCAATTGCCTGACATGTTATTCAAGTTGTTAGGGGTCCATTATAGTTGGAAATTAATCACATGAGAATTGGTGCAACATTAATGTCGATATTAATGTCAATATGCCAAGTATAACAGAATAAAATAAGTTTCGAAGTTGATCAAAAAACTGGTTCTGCTCCAGCTCTTTTAATTTGTATTCTCCTGTTCTATAGCCACTGCTGTAACCATGATATTTTGACTGCTTTGCTCTCACTGAAATAAATGTGGAAATGGGAGTGTAAACATTTCCTTTCTTCATTTGTGTAATGATTTTTTTTAAAAAAAGTACCTTATACTGGCCAGTTTTACAAAAATATGTACTTTAAAACTGTTGTTTTGTTTTTATGGTACATG